ACTCGTTAGATTATCGTTACGAAACAGTCGCCTGATTAATTCGCGGAAGATCGCCGATCAGGTTAAACTAGTAATGAGCATAATTGTGGTGTAAAAAAAGAACGGATAAGTCGTATGAAAATAGCTGGGGCGATTACAGGAAATTAGCTCGTGGAATCTCCAACGCGGATCGCGGGAAAAAAAGCAAGTTGTTTCTTTTTTAAGACTGCTCGTTGCAGCCACTTTTATAAATGCACGATTCCCCGTCGAATTCCGCGGGATTTTCCGCTCTTGCACGCGTCTCTGTTTGCAAATTGTCTCACGCGGATTCCCTCGTGTCTATCAACTGAAATAACACGTATGCGCGAACCTGAAATAGAAACACGTATCTCCAGCAGTTTAACGCGCGGTAAAAAAGGGAAATAACGGATAAAACTGTTTGATTCATGCACCGGATGCAACTGCCGACTCGGAACGGTGTGAAAATTACAGAACAGTTAATAAAACGTGCATAAACCGTGCGAAAACGCGATTCTCTCTCAATTTCGACCGTAAATCAAAAAATAATATGCAAGGCTACCGTTCAACGACAACCCGCGTTGTTTGCTAAGATCACTCCTATAGATTACGTTCGCGAATTCGTAAATGAAAATTAACGCGATAAGCGCTTTCATTTCGTACGCGATGCACGCTCTCACTAGAATTGATCAGCGTATTAACGATTAATTAAACGGTTGAGTGTTTCGCGTTTCACTTGTAAAATTGTCGATGCACTCTGCGTTTCTGAGAGATTTTAATCAACGACACAAACTTTTCATTTTGAACGACAACACCTCTGAATTTTATAATTAGTTTGTACCTAATCGTATGTTATCCGGTTCGATGAACGATGACAAAGATAAATTTCTGACAGTCCCGCGGACGTCGAATTGTTCACGGGCACGGATACGCGGTTCTGGGTCGACCGGATAAACGATTGGCATCACGGCTTAATAACGTAATGCACGAGAGACGGGGAATCGTGTCCGGGTTCGTACACGAGCTTCGTCCATTCACAATCTCATTCACCAACTCTATCCACCTGGCTACTATTACAGACTATCTTTAGAAGACAATAAAATTATACCAAATATGCAACGCGCGTTACGATCGAAGATACAATACTTAATTGAAGAACCAACGATTGAATATACACAAAGTATAAACAGTATTTAAAGTATCAAACATACAGAGTATTCAAAATAGACTGTACATTGCAATGCTGATCTATTATAACACATTCCTATGCAAAACGCAGTCCGTATATTTTATTTTGCAAGTATAAAATTGAGAGACGTCCGCAGGCAAACGAACAGACACTGGATCGCTCGAAAAGACCTACAGGTGTCCAGGATGACGTAGTCCCGGCTTCGCACGTAACGTTCACGGCCTACCAGGGGCACGGTTGATTCTGCTCTGAATATTCGTCTAGATCCCGAGGCACGCGGATATCCGCGTAAGCGGCGCGAGAACAACCGTTGCCCTCGATACACTCTGGACAAGCCCGGACCAGTTTTTGACTTCCTTCTCCGTTCACGTCGGGAGTAATACCGATCGAAATATACGTTTCACACCTTACACCACCCAGTTTCGTCACTCTTGTCGTCGACGACAGGGAAAGTTCGCCACGATGGCTTCATCAAACAGACGTTTTAACATTACATACGTTCAGTCTCATAATTTCTAGATAGAGTATCAATCATTAAGCAACAATAATTTAATGCTTAGTACACAGATATATGTAACTCATCCTCGGTTGAACGCCGTGGAAAATAATCCGAGGACAATGTTATGTATGCTAATTACAGTATTTATGATGCTCTGTCGAAGTTTTCTTTAAATACAAGTCATCCTCGTGATGAATTAATATCTTCGTTGAATCGATTCGTGTATAACGGATTTTTGGAATAAGTAACGGTAGTTGGTCTAAAGGTTCTTCTAAGACCTTCGACTCCGCTATCGGTTTAGGGATCGCGTACATTCCCTCACGGACCCTTTGCGAAAGAAACGAGAGATTGTACACTTGTTTACAAAGGTTAAACTATTTCCTGGATCGTAGACACGCGTAAATCGATTCAAGGGCTAACGCTTCGGTTTAACCAATGCCTTTGATCGTGCGATATTCACTATTGGAGAGGCTGGGTTCGTGTACGAGGCTTGTAAAACGCGCGCAATCAATTTCTGGAAGGACCGCCTGGTAAGAGGTCGAGAGAAGGTGCAAGGAGGATCGAGAGGAGCCAGCCAATCCCTTTCGACCTTGCTCGCGATCGGAAATGATCGATACGCCGCGCGAACGTTCGAGTTCCGCACGCATACAAGCGGATCCGACGTGGATCAGGAAGTTGTCGAAAGTCTGGCCTTGCGGCGGCCAAAAAGAGTCGAATAGAGCGGCCGACAAAATTGCGAGAACCGAAGAAGAAAAAAAGAAAAGGGAATTAGCTTCCGACACTTACGACAACGCATACCGTCACCCTTGGCTGCTTTATTTAGCCTGCGGTAGGAAACAAACGATCCGCTTACACGCGATCGATATCCTCGCTCCAATCTTTGCTGGATTTTATTCGAAAATTCGACTGCATATTTATGAAAATGTTTTACAAATACCTTTGCAACGATTCTCTTCTGATGAAAAAGATATCGGCACGTTACATCATGTAATACAGGAGAATATATGCAACGACACTGTCGATACGTCGTAAATAATTAATAACAGCGTCGAATAATAATTGCGTGATGAAAGGCGATTGATTTAGAGTCGCCGGCCGGTCGAACCGACGATTATGTATATCCGTTTAATAAAGATGCACCGATTTCTGTTTACCCGGACGATTAATCAAATTTCCCAACGCAAATAATAACTTTAATTACCGGCGTTGACACGTGGAATTACACCTCGACTGTCGCGATACAGATTTACGAGTCGCTGAAAGGAAGAGCAGAACAATCGGTGGGAATCTGTTTGTTGCATTTGCAACGAGATCACGATTATTATTATACGTGCAACAAGTACGAGCGTGATTCCCCGGGAACAATTATTTATCAGCTGAATCGCGTGCTTCGAGAAGAAAACAACCAGTGTTCTTTTTCGCGTGTTTTTCCACAATTTCTCCGGGAGGACAAAGCACGGAAAAAGATCGGATTATCCCTTGTCGGAGGATCGACGCGTCCCCTCGTCGATTAAGTAACCCTCGCTTCCTGATTAACCAATTATCTCTGCTCGCGATCCAACCGTGAACGTATTACCCAATAATATGTAGTTACCCGCCCGCGTTTCTCTTTATATTATAAATAATTCGTAAGTCCACTCCGGGACGGTCAAATGGAAAATCGATAAATCTATTTGCTTAGCAAAGATCTCGATGGGCGGACGACTCGATCTGTCGCGTAACCTCGCCTTGGAAAAACCGGAGGCTGTTGGTCCATTACGAGGACGGAAGCAGCCTCGGTTGCCAGAAATAGAGCGAACAGAGCTTCTCGTAGTCTCGTTCCTGATCGGAATATTTAATCACGGAGCGATCTAATTCCCGCGCGGTAGCGACGGCACGACATGTCCTCGCGGAAAACTCGTGACTAAGTTTGAAACATTTCCGAGAAGCTATTAAACCCGATTCGAACGGTGAATCTGAGACGACTATGGTCATCGACTACGGCCGAGCCAAGGTCACTGGCCATCGAACATTACGTAAAAACCGTTTCCAAAGTGACACAACTACTGAAATTTTTATCGGATCTGAAATGACACGGCACTTCTCGCGCTACGAATACTCGATTTTTCTGGATGCAGGGTCGAATTAGCCTCAGCGTTCCAAAGCGATGATGAGGCGATTCCCAGAAAGAGTGACGTTAAATGTATTAAGAAGTAAATTCAGAGGCTGCATGCAACACGCGATCCGAGCCTAGCGACCCGGATTCGAAGTCGTGATTCCTCCTCTAATGGGACGTTATCGTGATACGTTTGCCTCCGTTCCACGGGATTACCGCCTGGGAATCTGCCTCCCACGCGAGTACAACCTGTATCGGGCGGATTATGAAACGAGGATTGTGTTCACGACAATAAATCCGATATCTTTCCGCTAACATGGATAAATGCTGCGTTCGAGTCCAATTAGGATTCTGGATAGATCTAGAGCAATATGATTCTGAGTGCCTAGTAGCTAGAGTTCATGAGAAACGATCTATAGATCTGGAGTAGGAGATATCGTAGTTCGTAAATAGGGGCTCGAGTGTCGCCACCCTTAGTCCTTTCATCGATAAAACATCGGCAAAGAAGAATCAAAAAGACAGAAAAGACCGTGTCCGTCGTACCTACGCATACCTGTGCCAAGAAGGAACAGGTTTGTGAACCGGAGGTCTGTCCTGTGGAGCGTCATCGCGAGAGCGTCGTCGAACTGACCAGAAGTCTGCTCGACCGTTCATCATAAGAAGAAACCGGTGGAAACTAAATGCCCGATGATTAGCCGAAGATAAAGGAAAATCAGCTGAAACGCAGAAAGCGTGTCGGGTCTCGTGCTCCGAGATGTTGTTCGTTATCTGTCGTTTCTCCATTGAAAAGTAACTGGCTGATGTTTTTATCGAATCGATACTGTCGATGCCAGAAATGTCCATTCCTCGAATCGAGAAATGCAAGGGAGGCACTCCGCAGTGAGAGAAGTATTGATGATAAGGAGCAGGCTCCGAATACAGTTTATGCGATGCCCACGAGGCAGGAATAGGGCGTCCCTTGCCTCGTTCCTTCGTCCTTGCGCCTAGAACCGCCACCTCAGCGCGATGCGTGTCTCTGTGTGCGTGTTCTGCGTACACACGCAGCCGAGTAGAAGGAATAAAAAAAAAAAAAGATCGATCCTCTCGGCCGTGGTGCTGCGGAGAGCCGGGCCCGCGTGCAGGATCGGCGCGACGTGCCGTGAGCGCGCTCGGCTCGTTCAGGGTGGGAGATACGAAGGTATAAAACCGATCTGGCTGAGTGCTGGCAGCCAGTCCAAAGGCCAGATGTGGCGACGGCTCTAGTCGCACGCGTGCGAGAGAGACGATCACTGATCACGGCGTGCGGTACTCCCGCGAAAATAGAAAAGAGACCTGTTCATGGTTCCTTTGTACGATCGCTCAGCTTCTCTGCGACGATTTTAGCCGGAGAAACGCCGGTTGAAGAAAGGCATTCCAAAGGGAGAAGCATTTGTCCTGCTCCGGGTCAGTGGAGAAAGGACAACGGACTCTAGTGACGAGATTTCCTTTGGGGCTTTTGTCGAGGCTGATCCTCGGAACTTTTTCGTTGCTCGTTATTTCTGGGGGTGGTCGCGGACGGTTTCTTGTGGAATACGCACGGGGATCACCAGCCGGTTCACGGGAGTGGTGATCGAACGGAACGAACCAAGAGTGTAACACCTAGGTGCGAATTTCGAGACCTAGGAGATCCTCCGAGTGCGAAATAATTTATCTCAGTGATACCGAAAACACCCTGGAACATGTCTGCAATCCGAATCAACGTGGAAGAGGCCTCCAACGACGGTCGCGAGGACCTCGTCCCTGACGTAAGTTCAACATTCGTCGAGCTAAGGATCGTAACTGCCGAGTTTCTTCTTCTCTGGTAGCATCATAGATACATAGCCGGGTGCAAAGTGGTATCGCGGAACTCACGCAGTCTCTGCTTTCTATTCGTCGTTCCTTCCGCAATCGGGAAGTCTCGATTCCGTGGTCCGACAAGATTTAATCACGATTACAAAACGATTCATCAGGGACTTTCACGAAGAAGAACTCGGATGCTCGATCGGCGAGAAAAAACTAGTAGTTTCCTGCTCGGAAACTCACGCAATTGATAAAAAAAATTTATTTAGCCTGTGATTACGTAAAGTAGGTGTAAATTTTGAGGAAGAAGAATTTTACGGATGTTATCTAACAGGAACTGGCACCCACCGGATTTAATGCATCGCCGATAATTACCGTGTCTTTTATGTTTGTTTCCTACCGGAGCTTAACTCGACTGATTATCAGGGTGAACGTTGCCGTTTGAAAACAGTACGATTACGTAGCGATCAAGTTCGCGAACTTCTGCCATTGTAACAGCGTTCGCGTACAGCTCGCTGGTGGATACGCATCCCGAGTGGCAAGTGGTGCGATTGAATCGCGGTAAAAGGCGTCGAACGGTTTAGGTTCACGGGCAACGCGTGTACAAGCGGCGTAACACCGTTCACCGCGAATACTTAATAAGTCTGACACCCATCCAGCGCGGCCGTTTATGTAATTGCAAAGCAAACCGGGCGCGACTTCGCGGACAACGGTGGCGCGCGTCAGTTGAGAAACAAAGGACGATATCGTTCTCAGATATTCGTAGAAAATAACGCGTACGAAATTACAATATACCTGCATTGAGCAATTGAATCTGTGTAGCCAGCTCGATGAAAAATCGAACACCGAGAACGTGCGACTCGAACCAAAGTACCCTTTCACGCGTCAGGTTGAGAATTTCAATTGTGCCTAATGTATAAAACGCAATGGGGCCGGTCAAGACGTTTATTAAACTCTCATTCTGGTATTCGTATCGGAAACTATTTATACGCCTTTTAGTTTGTAAGATTTTCTAAATGCAAAGCTGATCGATATGTTAAAAAGAAAAAGAAGGAACGCGTGGGCGTCGCGCAATAAAAGTAGAGTACGCAGGTATGAAAAACGATTTCCATAATTCTGTTTCTCCGGGTAGAAGCCGGGCAGCCAAGCCACCTGTAGGCCATTTCTCACATTCGCGTTTCATAATTCCCCCTCGCCGTTCTTTAACCGTAGCCAGACCACGATCACCTTCTCCAAGTTTACGCGTAGGAACCGTGACAATATACATACTTCTGAACCAATTCCAACGCTACACATTAACGAGAATTAAAATTTAATAAACGTTGTCCCCTGAACGGAAATCTTTGAAGAGTTCTTCGAAGAATTTTTATTATTTTTTCTACATTGAGAGACGAAGTATAAAATCCTAATTAATGCGTGGCGTTCACCTTGTGCATTCGACAGTGAAACGAAAGCTAGCTCGTGAAAGGTCAAAAACGAAGAAAGGTCGGTTTCAGAAACGCGTCGTTAAATCGTCGAGATGCAATTGATTATCGTCGTGTCGAGAAATGCAAGTGGCATCTCGAAGAGGTCGGACCGATACGAGAACAAGATCCACCCTTCGTTATCGATCATTTGCACGACAACGCGATATCGAGGATCCATGACCGCGATCTACGATTCACAACTACGCAATCTTTCAACTGTAAAATTTTTTAATAAAAGTTCCTCGGAATATAAGTACAGCGTCCACGTTATCAGAATGTACGTGCGGCCCGTGAAATAGATAAATCACGTGCACCTTCATGAAATGTCGGGAGATTAGTCATGCACGACTCGATTCTGCAATGCAACTGATTAAACGAAAATATCGGCTGCGAGTTCCAAAGGTTGGTTAGAAAGGAAATGAACTTGTACTTTCGACTTGGTACGGTGGACGAGGAACGAAGTTTAGAGATCCCTTGCCAATGTGGGCAACCTTCGTATAGCGAACTCTCCATAACCTTCGCATACTAAACGCTGTCATTAAAATAATCGACGATATAATTCCCGTGGCATCGAACTTTGAAACAACCACGGAATCGGCTTCTGTAATACGCTCGACTGTGAGCTTACGTCAGCGTCGAAGAAAAAATATATAGTGTCCCTGAGAGATTAGGGTACTAATTAATCAGTGTGCGAAAACAATTCTCAGTCGTTCACCTTAAAAGGAATTCGCGCTCGCGTGGATTTCACTTTCTACCTTGATAGCCGAGACTCGTTTATCTCGCCGTCGAACAAAACACGTGTGCTTGTTTATGTGAAACTTAGAGAAGTTCGATGACACCAAGGACTAAAGATCGAGCGGGAAAACGATGAGAAAAATGATCATACGTGATGGACCAAGGACGCAGGAATAGAAAAGCGAAGGCTTAAGATCGAAACAGAGAAATCGATTTTGCAATATAGAGTGCTTTCTCCTGTCGCATGCAAATGTGGAAGGGGACCGCGACATTGACTCGTAGTACATAAAAAGGGTGTACCACATGAGAATTCCGTATTGGCAAAGATCGAAATGTTTTTAGACGAGCTCTAAAACAGGTGCGTATTACCGAGTGAAGCATTTCGAATGCTCTTCGGAAACGATTATTAGATAACTGTGACGGAGAAATGCTGAAACATCCTCGGTTATATAATTCCTCTGCCGGTTCATTAAGGAAACAGATTTCGTTAGATTACGTGACAGAAACGGCGCGTGTCGAACTTTCATTCCTGTTTCAAGGCGGCATAACATTTTTCTAATAGTCGCCACGGATATTCTGAACGTATCCTATATGCAATAATTTTTCGCCGATATTAAACTAATATTTATTAAAAAGTTTCGTTTTAAGTAAAATAATTGTTGCGGTCGACGAAATCGAAATTTCCACGATATTTCCGAAGACGAGTTGATCACACACTGTTTCTACTGAAACGGGATAACGAGTTGAGTAAGCGTGGTTAAGATAAATTCGCAAGCTTCAAATGTTGAATCAATTCATATTCTCAGCTGCAAAGAAAAGGAAAGAGATGATAACGAGAGGAGCAAACGTCGTTCGCAAAACTGAAAATATTAGAGTCTAACGATAGCGGCCTCGCAATTTCCGAAGGAACTACTTACTCACATAGTAAATGCAAATAAACGGCGGCGACCTAGAGAAGGTCCAAGATCCATCCGGATCCGGTGCACTCGTGACATTTCACGTCGATGCTCGTCGTTAAGCGTGCCCGATCCACTGATCGCATAAATAATTCGTAAAGATCGCCTGGCGTTATGAAATCGATGGACTCTCGATTTATTTATAGTTTTGTTGGAATTATGGATTCTCTTCCTCTTTCGGTAAGAAAACGTTTCGAATCGAGCGCGAGGTTCGAGGTCGCTCGGTAGAATATTGGAGCGATAAATGAACAAGATCGACGATAAACATGGTGCTGTGGTATTATCGATGATCGTAGCAAGTGGATTTTGTTTCTTTTTATTTGCGCAAGGAAGTAGAAAGCTGTCGAAAGTTTGAAAACGCCGAATTTCGTGATATATCCTTAGACGAAAAGGAAAGTATTCATTATGCATTCGCTTATAGAAGTCGTTATCTCCTCCGGTAATTAATAACGCGATCCGGTTATTAATCAATCAAACTGGTAATTGAAGTTTGTTAGAAATATACACGGAAATTTGAAAACGCGAGCCATTCATTACGATCGATTGCCATGGGCGATGCCCGAGGCTCAAATAAAAGAACGAGTTGAAAAACGTGTAACTAAATCATTCGGACTAATTAAATTTGCACTTGTGCCGTGGTAATAACGAAATAGTTCACTTGGAAAATTGGAATTGAATTAGTAAATCCAGAATATTCAAGACCAGACATCGTGACAATTAATATATCGTCAATTCCCAATAATACAGGCGATGCAATTTGTTTTCAAGCCGACTGAAAAGTGTCGATCTGCACCATATCCGCTCGCGTTAATTCCCGTGTCCTCAGCTTATCTCTTTTGAAACCGTGCCAATCGTTGGTTACGAAAGAGCCTGGTGGATTCATAAACAAGGTCTGCAACAGCCTAGCGGAAGTGGAACGGCGTCTCGATTTTTAAAGAGTCCTCCGCGCAACAACGCAACGAGATAAGCACTCGGTTCGATGAGTTAAGAGCCTGGTGAAAATTGCGGACGCGCGCGTACTCGCGACCACCTTTAATAGCGATTGGTTCAGGAAACAGCTTTCTTCCTCTTCGCGGAAGAGAAGGAGACTCCTTTATTCCGCTCTCGAAGATTCTCTCCGCGACAACTTTCGTTCTTGCTGTTTACCGAGTACGGCGATAAACACGGTTTCGTGTCATCAGCCAAGTGGAAGATAATTTTTGTTAATCGCCCGTCAATTATTCGACCCATTTAATGGTTAATTGATTCGCTCAATATCGAATCGATCTCGAGTAAGGTCTCAGAAGCGTAATGACGAACGATTACCGATAAGGACACGCGTACTCCGAGCGATCATACGTGAGCCTTTGCCTTCTTTCGATTGAACAGATATCTGCTAATTGGCGATCGGAATCGATCTCGCGAAAGGGAAGCAGAGAAGGTCGTCTCAGATCAGAAGTCTAAACGCATCGTCGTTACGCTTTTCACACTTCTATTGGAAGACGGAAAATGAGTCGAGGACTAATTGCATCCGGGATCATCGAGGTCCATCCTGAACACAAGACAATTACTCGATCGCTGTTCTAACTAACAAGCCGTCAAGGTTATTAAACAGGATCGCTGGAAGTGTTCCACGGATCATTTCACTTTTGTTGCCTGAATTCGTCCGAAGCCTCTAGAAGCCGCCTCTGCCATGAATCTTCGTCTCGCGAAGGAGCTACGACAGGAGGCCCGTGAGAGATCTCAACGCTCGATCCTAGTTTCATAATCCGCGTTCTAGTCAGATCAGACGCGAAGATGATCCCAAGGACGGGTCTACGATCGTCAATTACCGATCAGCCATATCAAAAGGCGAGCTCGAAATCCGTGGAGGGTAGCAAATTTTTTCCCCGTTCTTTGACCGAGGATACAGCGCGTTAAACGGAGCGAAACCGACGTGTAATGAAGCCGAAGCCTCGTTGCAAAATATGCAGACGCGATCGCGGGTCTTGTTAGATTTATGCTTTCTGTGAGGCAAGCGCGCGGGTTCGGCGTGAAAACAGGCTGAACAAAGACCAGCACGGAGATGGAACACGAAAGTGTTGAAACTTGTGCATTATTAAAATTATTGCCTCCCGCATGTTCCCTAGTCGCAAATGACTGGTTGCCAGCCACACACTTTTTTTCTAATATAAAACGCTTCGAGATAAAGACTGACCCCTATTCTAATCACTGTTGCAAGCAAAGAGTTATCACAGGTAGTTTGAGTAGCCCTCCGTGATAAAAATATTCATATGTAAAGCGTTTAACGTATTAATTTCCTAAATTGTTGAAGGAATCTTGAAATGTCAAAGTTTCAAAGGTGTAATCGTAATATAATCATAGTTACACGCCATGCGTGTGCCTCGGAGACCGACGAAAGTTACTTCATCACGACGGCGTAATTTACCTAATAATAACGTCTAGAGAAATTCGATGAGGAATTACCGATAGTTATCGAAAGTTGTCTAACTCGTAAGAATATCTTTTGCATAATAACTTTCTATTATTCCATTTGCCAATTGTTAAAACGATTTGAATAATGAAGCCATCAGAAAAGATTCCGTGCTAAGAAATGTTAAATATATGTTTTGAAGAGTCATTGGAAAAATAGAATTGTATAGCTAAGCGTACAAACGTCCAAATTTGCATTCGCATTGGACGAGCGGAGGTGCAGCTAGAAATCCGGTTCGAAGGGATCGTAGGAGTCTGACAGAAGAAAAGGAGCACTCGCATTATTGCGAGCCGAAGGGACCGAACTCGACTTATTCATGAACGCGTATCTTATTCAAATTCCCCGTAAGCGTCCATCTCTTGAATAGCGGTACGTTTTTATAAATCGCTGGGCGACACTTTTTTCTCTAGTCTATTCCGAAACGATTATCTCATCGTCGGAATTCCCGGACGTTATGGAATATTTTTTAACAAACCAAATTATTTGTTTTGTTATCTAAAAACTGGCAAGAATGAATTCGTGGAGAACCGATTTCTGCAAACGTATTTCCGTAAACTATATCGCGTTTCACATCCGCGAAGGAAACGTAAGATAGACAAGGTTAATCCTCGGGTTCTGTTATCGCTACCTTGTAACACATATCTTTTTATGATCGCTTGTTCACGCATCCGCTCATTAGGCGTTGCCGCGCTGAACATAATTCGAAGTATGTACAATGGTATCGGTAACGAGAAAACGTAGCCCGAGGTATATCGACTGACGCGTTCTCAAGACGACTCTCGACCTACACGAATCAACGGGAGTATCCGATTGTTGAATTCCAATCGAGTCACTGGCTTCACTGTGGGCGAATCTCCTTTGACAATCGAAACGAGCGAAACTTGTCAGACTTCTCCCAATTCAAATATCTCAAATCCATTGATCGGTATAGTTCTTGATTAATTTCGAAGGAAATCGGAAATCTTGTTCATCCCTCTCAATGGCTAGATCAGGTTGAAAGGGGAACGAAAAAGAACGCGGGTTCCAGAGTGTCGCGTTACCTGGTTCCCGGAGCACAGGTGCGGCGCTTCGAGGCTGACCAGTGTATTGTGTTCCAAAAAATTCTTAACGACACGACGCCTCTTCGAGCGTTCTCCTCTCGCTCTCGGGATTTCCCTTCTCGCCTCGATAAAAATTCGTTGATATACCGGCTCGACAACGAATACCTGTCAGGTATCGAGATTCAGTTATGAAACTCTTGATTCAGACAGATACGTCGGGCGCCATTCTCTCGTATTGTCTAGTCTTACGCAATCTCAGCTGTTCTTTTTCATTCTAGACCGTGCAATTTCGGTACTATACTTCGACGTATGCAATTCTGTTAACCATTCGGTGTACCATATAATCTCACGTTTCATCTTACTAAACTGATCGACCGATACAAAACTTAATTGACTGTCAAAGGCTCGGTGTATCCCGGAAGATTGAAAATCGCGGCGTACAAAAATGTGAGCAAGGCTTCTACGTTATTTTCTGAATCGACCACGCCCGACAGGACGCATAAATCCTGGCTGGAGCGTTCCATTAGAGCTCGATACTCCGATCGAAAAAGAGAAGCAGGGACCTTGAGCGGCAGCCAGTAGCAGCGAAGGTAGGCCACAGACTCAGTACGCGAAATGCTGATTTACGTGCGAAAATGGCCAATTAACTGGCGTAATCGCTTTGCGTACACTCGAAACCGCAGTGTCAAAGTCGCGGAAACGTTCTCCCACTTGGCCATGAAAAAGGTTCCGCGCATCGCGAGACAAGGAACCAGATGATACAATTGGTCTCCCCAACTGATATCATCTCCAAGAATTGGAATCGTGCGTTTGATCCAAGGATCCGTTTCTCGTTCAGAATTCCTATTGGCTTTGTTCTCATATTCGAATGGGCAGGTGAAATCTCGCGGAAGGGAATAGTATGTGATTTCATTGGATTGATGCACTATCCGTCGACGGAGAAACGGGCACGATCTGGCTACCCGCAGACGTATTCGAACAATGAGACGTTGCGACAGTCTTTCGAAAACGGTGTTCGCTGGTATGCAAAGTATGTTTCGCGAAGAATAGAATGCTGGTTAACGCGAAAGTCTATGTTCCTCCTTTAGTGAGATGGTTAATTAGTATCGACGGTAGTACTCGAAGAAGTTGTGCTTGAGATATTTCTCATTCTGAAGGGTCACTTAATACACTCGTTTAATCAGAGCGTCCGATCACCGAGCAGATGAAAGATGAAACTCAGATAACGTGGCTACGTATATGCGACTCGGCGACAGATAAACTGCACGCGGTTGCAGGTGGAGGACATGCGGGCGAGGGCAGAAGCGTAACTCCCGCGACATTATCGCTTACGCAATCGAACCTCTTCACGTCGATTTACGTTGGTTTCAGATCGAGGCGACGGCGGCGGCGGCTACGACGGTGGCTACGACGGCAGTAGCGGGCAGCCCGCTTTCCTGGCACATCCCAAGGCCGTCCTTGGTCGGCAGAAGCGAGAGGGATAGCGAGAATGGTAGCTGGGCTCATAATTTGCACCCGAACTCGCCGTCCAGAGGATCCACTTCCTCCCAGGGATCCACCGCCAGCACACACGTAAGTGATCCCAGCAAAATTACAAGTTTCGGATACTTTAAACATTATACCTTCGGTCTAGATATCATACTTCGAAATAATCGAAGAAAGATTTAAAAATGAAGGCTTGCTTGCTTTTCCTGATATATGAAATCGCGTCGAAAAGGATCAATGATCAATTACGGACGTTTTGCAGAGCGCCGCGTCGGGCACGTTACTCCTAACAGCCGCGAACCTGGCGAATCTAGCGGCGATTCATCCGCCTACGGTCACGGCACCAAAACAGATGGACACAGCTTCGGTCGCGAGCAGTACCCACTTTACCGTGGTGAATGGTTTAGGCAGACCGACGACGGTCTACAGAAAGTCCTTCTGCGCGAGAAACCAGCTCACCGTGCTCGTCTGCACGATGAGCTTCCTATTCATGGTCGGCCTGCTTCTTGGGATCCTCTACATGGAAAGTGAGTATCTCTAATCGTTATGGATTATCGAAGGATCTCATAGTGATCTATTATGTTTAAGATCGATCTCTACCAGCCTCCATTGCTTTTTCTTTTGATTCCAGTGAGAATTCGTGACAAGTACCATTAAACGAGGGACAGACGACGAGTGTGGATCTTTTTGGTGGTTTACGTGAAGCTCGAAGAAACGATTTAGTTTCGGAAACACGCATGGATCCTCAACTATGATCAACGGGATCATTCATATTTATACACATATATCGTCGCTTAGAATGTTAGAACCCGACTCGATTAGACGTTCTCGATTAGAGATAAAGTTTTAAAGGCTGTATCGCACCGCGTTCAGCGTGCGGTACGTGACAACTCAGTAATTACGTTCATGTAATGAGGTAGCTTTAGGTAAAACGCGTATAAATGTTAGGACGCGATCCCTGATTCGTCAGGCCGATTATTTCGCGAAAGGACCTGCTCGCGTCCTTTGAATTACGATGATTATCGTAGAATATTTCCTGCCACATTTCTTTTCTTGTATAATTAAGATCAAACGACGCACGTACGAAAAACTATCGCTTATACCTCTGCTCGAAGTCGATTATTCGAGACCACAATGCATATTTAGAGATGATCGATTTGAATGGGATTGAAATCGAAAGTAAATTCAACAAAGAGCTTTCGATTTGGATTCGCATTAAATTAGATCGAATCGATATCGTCGTCTAATTTCGTAACTCATGCATATAAGAAGTTCTTCGATTAACAACCGACAGAAGCAATCGACGAGGCGGCAGTTATATAAGTGGATACACGCTAACTTTAGGGTTTTGTTATTTAATTGTTACTAACAGAAAATGAGCGCCTGGATTCTGTAAGCCTCGTGTTCCAGGGTGTGTACGAAAAAGAAATTGAGCAGTGATCGCACCGATCACTGACTCGCAACTGTGATATTACTTGCGTATTAATAAATCGTCGATTCAACAAGAAACTGTCGAACCATGAAAAAGTGTCAACGCTCTGTTTTATTTCAACCCCGTTCCTTGTTTTTCCGCACGATTAGTCAAAGGATCAATCGCATGAAAATTTACTATTGAAATAATAGATGACAAAACATGACGAAGACAATTTACAAACTGTCATCAATTCCGAGAAATTCACATTCACAACGCTAAACCTACTGACAGTTTCTGTAAAATAATGTGCTATATTTGTATTTTTTACATTTTAGTGCAATTTAGTGTAAGCACTGACACTTCAGTTTAGTATCAGTTCAAATAATAGTTGCAATTTGAACAATATGATAAAACAAATTTAGTTTTCATTTTACATCTTGTATAAAAATTTAAAAATGTTCGTTTGACCGTTGCATGGTAGGTTTAGCGTTAATTATATTATCTCATTTATCATGAGACTTCCATCGCTTATCGTTAGACATTAAATGATTTTCGAGAAAAATAATTTATTTGCATGCAGAATATGAGGTACTCACTTCTAAGTCCTGCAGTGTCTGGGTCCATCTGTAGTTAGGCAGGTCGGCTCCATTCCCGCTATTAGGCCTTAGCTTGTCCTTTTCCTTCTCATCTTCTTCCTCATCGTCCACCACTTCTTCCTCGCCATCTACTCCTTCCTTCTGATTGTCTGCATTATCACCACTTGGCCCAGGCACTGCACTCTGAGGTGTTTCCTTTACTGATTTCTGTAACCGAAACAGAAAATCACCATTTGAAAAACTAGCATAATCTTAAAACAAAGATTTAATGAATGAAATTGGAATTCTTATGTACCTTGTGATCAATTTCTTCTTGTAGCTTGGTAGCTTGTTCATCAGTCAACTCAACGATTTTCTCACTATTGAACTTTTCTTCTTCAGCCTTTTCTTCTTTCTTCTTTTTCTCTAATCTCTCCTTGCGACGTTTCTCTTGCTCCTCACGTTCCGCTTTTTCACTGGCAGCATTCGCGAGGGCAGTGGCTTCGTGTTTTTTGAATGTACCCATGACAAGCTGCAAATTAATGAAAATATGACAAGAAAGGGTTAGCACGTCGCTCGGAAACGGCGAAATTAGTTACAATTCGAAGTATGCGAACAATAATTACCTTCTCCGCGGCTCCCTTGCCTCCTCCCGTGTAGAAATCTGTTTTCCTCGCGAGGAAGTTGAAGATTGTGTCGAGTAACTGTAAGACGAATCAAATTTAATAATTAGTTTCGGAAATATCAACGAAATAAGTTTGTCGTTTCAAGCGAAACGTAACCTCTACCGGCAACGGAGGACGACTCACCTCCTTTACGCCACCCTCGTGTTGCTGGGCCATCGCCAACAGCATTCCGTCAAACTTCTCCTCGTTTTTCGACATTTCTCACTCAATGAACACAAAAAATTGTTAAAGTTACACTATAAATCTTTAGAGTCAACTTCCGAACACTTTGTTGCCACACCACGTTACAAGCCAAGTGCGAATGACGCAGAACGTCTGGAATTATCGACCAAACATGGCCTCCCACGGTACACGTCCTACCACCTAGCGTTTAATTCAACTGTCCGACTACTGGGCAGAGAGAAATTTTCTCCCTGTAATGGGCTGGTATATAGAATTGTTATGTATATTTAAAAGCATTTCCTATTCCTGTCTATCCCATATTTCCAGTCCTGTCTTATACAGGAAACGGGGATTTAAGAAAATGCTCAAGACGATCTTAAATATAATAGACTCTGAATACCTAAAGCGGGGTCTGAAGCCCCGTGCCGGAATCATTTCTGACCGACACCGATATTTCACTAATTTATTTTTGCGATCCTATCTACGATTGCTCCCTAATACCTTCCATAGACTTATAGACGAACTTCGGATCATCGAAAAGCCGTCTCTTTAAAATGTCGTTTGATTCCCCTCGATCCGACTTCTGGTTTCGGAGATATCGTCCTGTAGAGGCAACCGTAATTTTTTCGGCGTCGCTATTGTTGTCTTTCTCGCACGTTGACCGACTTATTGGTCTAGACAACCAGCTGACGACGTGACTAGGTCACTGACCTGCGTCAGTAACACTAAACGCTGCGCCTAAACTTTGGAAGCCTACAACTCCAGAACGGATTGAGATATCGGGATGAATAAAAAACGAGTTTTTTGGTCTTGACTTTTTCTATCAACTTAAGGAGATTTTAATAAAAAATTCAACATCCTTGTACCAATAAACTTGTTTTTAACACGTTTCATACAGCTCAATAATAATGTAACTAACGATTTAAATTCTTTTTGGTTTTAATTAATAAATGTTAAGATGAGGAGAATATCTGCTTTAAGTTTTATTAATAAATGAATGGAAACAAATCTCAGCATTTTTATTTCGCGATCCTTGACCAAATACATATGGCGTAGAAACCGATTTTTCGAATTTCAAATTTTAGGCTGCCACTCTAATAATTTCTCCTCGATGATAGTAAGCGTTGCGTAAGAATTGCTGATAACGTTGTGACATAGAAATAAATAGAGCTCCATAAAACAAAAGAAAAAAAATACATTGACTGATAGGTCTTTTCTTTTATACTTAGTCTGTGCCACAATCTATTAGGTTACAGTTTTTATATCGTTATTATATAATCAAAAATTATTTAGAAAATGGCATATAACAGAACAAGAAGATTTCCAAAACTGATCTCTCAGACACCAGCAGATATCGGCCCGGGAACTTATGATCTGTCAGACGTGTCTTGCCCTAAGAGGCATCTCGGTATTAATTGATTCACAATTTGTGAAAAACAGTAAGAATTAGTACAGAATTTCTTTCGTAGCTGAATTCTCCCCATTCTTATGTGGAACGAAAAGGGAAACTGTGATCGTGCCAAGGGATGCCGATAGATACCCAGGACCTGGGTCTCATGATATAAAAGAACCGCAGAGACATATACCAGAACGTAGTTTCTAAAAATTGTACCTTACGAGATGGGACCGTGAAAAGTATTTGCGGTAAATATAAAATTGCAGGGAGGTGTTAGTATCGATTTCACTGAAGCCAGATTCAAGGAACAGATATCCGAGGGACCAGGTCCGGTGGATTATAAAGTGGAATTAGTGAAATGTGGAAAGATAAGAACTCATCCTGGTACCTGGAGAGGACCTCCTGGCAAAGTAATAAATAACACACTGATCGTAATATTAAATCAAACAACAAAAAAATCTCTTCATTTTACGACGCACTTCAGCTATGGTTAATTCAACCACCTCGATCGATTATTCCTACTCCAACGTCTGTCCCTGACAAAAATTATACCGGATATAGCCTAAATAGATATGGCTTTCTCGTAAAAAATCCTCCGATAACAAAGGAACCGAATTTCTTTTACAACATCCCACGAGGAGTAAACAGTTTTCCCTTAATTTATAAAAAAAAGCAATAAAGGGACGGAGAACTTTAGCAAATAAATTTTTAGGAAATGAATACAACCACGATAATTTATAAAGGCAACTTTTGGAGTAGGATGTCGGGTAGGACCGAGCTTAAGCAATTTTTGACTCCAAGTCCGGGAGATTACGAGCATGAAAAGAAGAAGACACCCTGGGAGATAGAAACTGAGAGAATAAGAGAAGCTAGAAGGATGTCCACTTGGCAACCACGTTATCTAGACGCCCTTTATAGGACGAAGATGCGTGAAGTAAATAATTTACAACGAACGCACATTGCTAATCAAAGATTTTTAGAGCCAAATCTTTGAACGTAGAATTTACCAGGACCAAACTGTTACAACGTGAAAGGTTCGTTCGAAAAATACTTCAAGATTCCCTGCAAGTGCGACCCTTACTCTTTGGAACCACCCCCTTTTGGACAGACTTCCAAAGTACAATTATGACATTGCAATTTTTGATAAAGCTTAATTGAAATCGATTCATTACAGAGATTCGACGATAAGCCGCGAACTGATATACCTGGTCCGGGTACGTACGAATCCTTCCAAGGGATAAAGTGTGTAGGTAGCATTTTTCCGGCAGCATTCGGCGTCTGTGCTACTCGATTTAAGCACGATCCTGAAGATTCTGGACCAGGTAATATTTTCTATTCAAATTCCTGAAAATTCGTTGAATAGTACGCTTGCTACTTTACCAAGGAAGCTTTCACGTGCAGGACCGAGCGACTACTATCCGCTCGTCGGCAACTTGGCGTATGAGTCCGAGAAGCGTTACAGATACACCTATCAAAAACCAAGCTATCCAGAAATTTATTCCGATGACATTTCTTTCTACGACGATGACGATGATTACTATGACGCGTGCTCTCCCGAGAGAGCAGAAGAAAATAAGAGCAAAGTCTATCATGCTGCTTTTAAATCTAGAGCTGAAAGATTCCCGAATCCAGCAAAGGTATGGCATCTCAAGAAATTGTCTAACACGTTGAAAAATGCATTTTATAAAAGAAATGACAATTATCGAAAGAACTCAACGGATACACGCTCGAATTCAGATTCGATTTGAATCCTAGCTCCGTTCAACTCGATGCCGGGTACAGATGTCACTACGCTTACATTTATTCAACATTCAAAATCCGAAGTGAAAATTATGTTTTAATACGCGGTCATGACTAATCTCCATAAGATTATCTATCATATTAAAATGAAATAAGGAGATTCAAGAATCAAATGATATATCTAGTGAAACACATCCTATCCCATCCTAAATCGCTTTCTATCCAACTGCACAAGATCAGAGGCCCTTCGCTGACTCAGAAGGGTCGATCCGAGCAAGGTAGAGATTGAAAATGTTAACCAGGACGGGTTGCAATTCCTCTAATGAGATCGTTGCCTGGAGAGCCAGTAGTCACAATAAGTCTGCGGTCAGACCGGTGGATTCTTTCGAGCCCGAAAACTAGGTAGGGTCCAAGTAATCCTTGAAGCGCGAGAGGTAATCAGGAGAAGTCGGAGGCGAAATTAATGGCGCCGGATCGAACCGATGCATCTGCAGCCGGAGGCGGTTCGAGGCCCGGGATCCAATTTGCCCGTTAATCGAGAGACACCGTCGATTCGACGGCGCAGCCACAGATAGAGGACGGAACAACGCGTGCCTCTGTCGCTTGCTGTCTCCTTTGAGGTCACCCGCGTTCTTGGGAAGATGGAATCCTTCTGTAGTAGCCGTCTTTCGAGCACCCGTTTGACACACGAACACTTAGAAATTTCATTAAACACCGTTTTTCGATCAGGATCTGAAACGGTGCTTGCGGTTCTCATTCCGTTCGCAATTATCTTCAATCTAAAATCGAAAATGTTTGTTGGAGGATGATAATTTTACTTTATAAGGAGCATTCTGATAATAGGAGATTTTTGATAATAAAACGTAGGGAGAAGCAGGATATCGTTGCAAATATTGGATGAGACGCGGAAGAAGTCGGTGTTTACATAGGGAAACGTCGTAACTCGACAGGTCATTTTCAACGTAGTCCGGAGAGATCGCTTCTGGCTCGCTGAATCGAATATTCGAACCAATTCCTGTACCGTGAAAATGCAAATTGTCACGGGCACCGATGCTTTCCTATTTATTTATAGAGATCGTCCGTCAACGAGAATTCTGTACTATTTCCAGGGGAATTCCATCCATTGTAGCTTAATTGACGAACGCTGATCAAATATTGGAAATACATGGATTTATATTTGGTGAACCGAGCATAATCGACATATACTCGAGAAAGCGACGGTAATCGCTCTCACGAGCAAGCGACCGTGAAATCCTTTACATTACAGATGATTATCGGAAAATTTTTACGTTCGATATAACTCTTTATTCGTTTAGAGGATTGTACTTTCATATCTTTTCATTGAACGAAACGATATATAATTCTAATCAACGTTCAGATACTTCTCTCGATTTTATAGGATGTTCCTGGTCCTGGTGCTTACGAAGTTCTGAAGTCCTACAAAAGGAATCGTAATAAATGTGAATTCCTGTGTCCTACAACGGCTCCAGCTTTCGGCACACGTAGCAGTAGAATGCCGAAGCAGGTTGTGCTCGAAACGCCAGGTATATACAATACTTTTTTAAGAATTCATCCCTTTTTTAACTATTTACTTATTTTCTAGATCCAACATACTACAACCTGGCTACTGATATAGCAGAAAACGTGAAGGGTGGCGTGATCTCTCAATCTCGGAGGCACCACGAACGTCCATTGGCGCCCAGTCCTAATCGCTATTGCGTAAGTTCCTTTATTATCTGTCCAACTCGAAACTTTAGTTTTATATTTATCCTTTTGAAATTGCTTATTGTCCGAATTTAAATTGTAAAAGTCGCGGTTAAATGAAAATCGAACTGACGAAGCGTGGAAAAGGAAATAACGAACGGATTTCAAGTTTCGAAACAACGAAACGAAAATCGAAGCCGGCGCGCGTCGAGCCGCGCGTATTTTCACGTCGAAAATTCCGTTCCGTCGGTTCACGTACACGGTATTTACTTTGTTGTCACGGGCCAGGATATTGCGTTGTCGGTGCGCGCGAGCGCGGGAATAATACCGGATACTTCAGATGGTGATGTATGAGCCGCGCCGTTACGAGATGGTTAGATCGGGTAGCCGTTGGCTCTGTATTACTTCTGTCCGACGTTGGTTCCGCACGGGGCCGGTTCGTAAATAGCCCGAATTGAAACGGCGGTTTTCCTTTTTCCCGCGAAACGGTAGCTAGATGAATGTACCAAGGGAATTGAAAGTCCGAACCGCGGAATTGTTGCGTTCCAAGAATAAGAGAATACGGTGGATACAAAAATTGTTCCTTCATTTTTCAATGGAACCCGAGCGTGTCTTCCACTTTGCTAAGAAAGCCGATATTGGAAAATGCAAATTTCATTTCCTACAGATTCATCCGTATCTTTCGTCGTCCGTCCTGAAGAAGTCGTTCAATATCACTTTGGGAAAACCGAAAGTTGTGGAGAAGTTGGAACCGACGAAACAAAAGAAACGCTGTCCGTGTAGAAGGAAGAAACTTCTTTGGTTCACCGTGGCTCCACGCGAGTACTGGGAATGTCAGCCGGAGACTTATTGAAGGGAAACCGTGAGCCACCAAACTTATCTGATTTATCGTTCGACTCTTGTGTAAAACCATTAAATTCTTCGTGTGCAACGTAATTTTGAATAACTAGTCCCGTCCGATTCGTTAATACATAATTATTATTCGCGTCCGCCTGCGGATGACACGTAGCCCAACAGTCATCGAACGAGAAAATTTCAATGCGAGTAAATCAAACGCAAGCGACGCGCCGCCCGCGGGGCACTCGGCTTGGAATAATAGATTCCCTGAAGATTTTCAACCCGTTCAAGTACGTTCGAGTCGAGGAGCGTCGAGAACCGGCGCGTGGAAAAAAAGGTGTGCAGGTGAACGAAATATAGAATTTCAATTACGAATGCAGTCGTTGACGCTTTCATAAATCGACCCTCCTGCTGTCGCGAGCCATCGGCGTAAATTATTTCGACGGTGCTCGCAAAAACGCTGATTGACGCTGGCCGAATTTATTCGATTGCACAACGAAATCATCGAGAAAAAGCTGCGCGATTACATAACGCGCATAAATCTAAATCCAACGGAAGTAATGCGTATTGAATACAAAAAGTGATTCGTTCTAGCAATCGTATTCGAGTTAACTCGTTGTTCGAAGCGAACGCGTTTTTATAACAGGAAACAGCCGCGGGTTAGAATTTGTTGCAGCAACCGCGTGATCAATAGAGGTAACGTTAGACCTATAGATCGTAGGGCACTGTTATGAATACTTGGATGTTGAGCGCGGTGGATTATGAGCCGAGTATCGGACGTAAATGGAGCGATATATTATCATCATAAAGTATATGAAACACTAAAAGCCAAGCCAAGAAGCATCGAGGCTCGAGCGTGCTTGCCCTCGACTTTGATCGATCACTTTGAATGGAAACTCGGTTACTCGTACGTTACCTCCCTATACACTTCCCGCAGAGTTTCTTACGTCCGCTCTAAAGCATTAACTATGTTTTACATTATTCCCTACAAAACCATTCTCCGTTCGAAGATATATGTTTTATCGATATTAAAACAGTCAGAATAAATTGTATTAAATCGCACGTGTAGTAATGTTACGAGTTCCGTTTTAATAAAATTACACGAAAGTTTCCGGTGTGTGATGAACGTCTGTTTCTACTTGCGCTATGGCTTTATTTTACAAAGGAAACTTAAGAACACTTTGTTCATTTTCAATAGACAGCCATAAGACACTGATGCCGTCGCGTTTTCCATTCCTTTTATTGTCGTTGTCAGGTAATAAATAGTTTAATAGCAAGGGGAAGAAGTTCTTCTCTTATCCGTGTGCGGCACACTCTACGGCGAGAAGCATCTTTCGAGGATATTTAAAGTCTCGCAGTTACTCTCGTAATTACTTCTCGCGTTTGGTACACCCGCAGCGAACAAAAAAAAGCAAGGGAGTAAACATAGAAAGGAAAGGAGTAAGAAAAAAAATTACGACTAAAATGTCGTCTCCATCCTTTCGGGATTTGAATATTTACGCACCGGATGAATTCAATTTTTGAGAAGTTCATATCTGTATCTTATTATTTATTTACTTATTTATTATTAACCGTACCATATTTGCACTGCATTTGTAACGCACCTGAGTGACAAATATCACATTTGCACTATTTATTTCAGTTTCTGAAAAACTCCGAGTGACGTTGTCGAGTTAATTGATTGAAATCGAATAACGAAGTTATTTGTTCAAGAATGGACGATTGCAAATCTAACAAATAAATGATTTAGTACAAACTTTCGCAATGAAGGTATATGAGCTGACATAAACGATTTTGTTATTGATATAAACTTATATTAGACAATAAACGTTAAAACCGCATTTACTGTCTCATAAAAGATCTTACAGAAGTCTCCCTCACAATTCTTACGAATTTATCAAACCTCCCCCAAAGTCGGAACGTCAGCTGCGCAAAAAAGAGACAGGAGTCCTCTCTGGCGACGACCCGAGGCGTCTCTTTAAACCTGTAATCGTATAAACTCGGCATTCTTCCCTTTGCGTCACGTGCCGACGCGTGTATCAACGCCGCAGATCCTCGGTGTCGACACCGACGTCGACGCATCGCCCGTCGTCGTGGCGTAGCCGCTAATTTCCACGCGAAATCGTCACACTCCGCTTGTCACCGCGTCCGGGAAGCAATTCCGTGGATTCCTGCCTCGAAGGAATGCTCCCTTTTCCTTTGATCGTACCTCGCGAGCGTCGCTCTTAACGAGAGGCGACGGATAACTTTCCCGATACTCTCCCGTTAGACTTCCTTTGAAACCTGCTTCCTTCGCATGGAAAAAGTATCGCGCCGTGACAACAATAGCTATAATTTCATGCAATTGCCATGCCACTTTAGTATTTGTCTCAGAACATTTGTTGACTTTACCTTCGAAGAGTAGCAGCTCGTAAACTCAGAAGACAATTCTTTAGCGTTTAACATTCTGGCATTTCTTATTTCGCAATTATCTGTGGCCCAGAAATTCGTCGAGGTGTCGTTGAATTTCATTGTGTTACAGTACCGTGCAGTATGTACTCATTTCATATGTTGGAAATTCCGTTTATAACGAGAATTTATGAGAAGGCTTGATTCTCCGTAATAACAAACGAGGACACGGTGGAATAATTTGAATACCCGGCGTATCGATGAAAAACTCTGTTAATCGGCGCATCTCCATTCGGCGTTGATAATGTGTCGGGACTCGGGAACGAGGACGACATTACCGTCGCAACCCCACATCGGACAGGGCCAAGGGTATCAATCAGCGGTACATGAAAGGGGCGCGGTCCGGCCACGTCTGTCGTCGGATCTCGTATTGTCTGTCTGCGACAGATAGACAGAAGCGACGCTGAACTTCCGACGTATCCTCTATCGGATGACGCCTCCGTGCCAGTCGAAACGCCGTCACGTTACTTTGTTCAGCGACCACCCCTGTGCGCGACACCCTCCGGCTGGGTGTTAATAAATTTTCTGTGCCGCGACAGCCCAGATTTCGATAGAAACGCTGATTGTGTATCTCTGCGTTCTCGCATTCTATGCGAATCAAAAACGTTTCCCTCTTTCTAATAAATAAATAATAAAATTAAGGAGATTGGAAAATCTTCGTGGAAGAGTTTAAAGTTGCTGGGATTCGAGGGTTTTAATTTAATGACTTCTGGAGTGGGATGATGTTCAGGGGGATGGATACAAGGCAAGCTTCGGAATTGTTTGTTCCGTACGATTCAGCGCGGGAGGATGTCGTCGGGAACAAAAGAGGAAGATGTTCCTGGTCGAGACGGGTTCCTTTCCGCGTCAAAAGACTGGCCTCTTTTAAAAGCAACTTGGACCAGTGGAAAACAAAGGACTCTTCCGTTCGGGCGTGTTTCTGCTTTTGCCTCTGTGTGTGTGTGTGCGTGTTTGCTCGTGTTCGAGGCGAGTCGCTCGCGAAAACCTATTGTTCGGTCGCATGACAGCGAACCCGGACGAAAATTCACCATAGGGAAAACGGACGAGCTATGTCTTGTGATAAAAGTAGTTGTAACGGTACCTTTGACTTCCCTCTAGTCTCGCTCGGAAACGGAATCGAGTTCTCCTTGTAGACTCGCTACTCAAGACAACAGGCATTGCTATGCGGCTACGTTTCCGTTTAACGCGCGTTTACCCGCCCGAGCACGCTCGGATCTGCCCGCATTCTCAAGTAGACGTCAGTTTCGCGTCGAGTCTCGTCACGGAAGAGCACTACGTATGCTTCATATCGCTTGATGCCACACTCGCTCGGTGACAGGTGCATTATTACATTTTGCGAACTGAACAAACTATTCCGATGAAATGTAAGAGGTTGCGCATTCTAATAAATGCGTTAGACATACGAGAATAAATGAACACATGTATTATCTGTGTAATATTAGTTTTCCTCGGTCACAAAGTGGAAATGTGACAAAAAAGGGTGAAGATAAAAATAATGTCCCCGTAATTTATCACCGTTGTTTCATCTCTCACGCTACAGAATTCAACAGCATCGGTTGTGTACGAAAGAGGGACAACGGTATCACGAGAGAGTATTTAATTTCGCGGGCAACAAACGTGGAACCTGTGCCAGGTTTTTAGGAGCGGCGATGCAGATCCGCGTGTGCTTTGAATAAGCACGGCCGAGAGAGGGTGTCGCGACAAAGGTGGAACACAGCGTGTCTTTTCTCGTGTTCGCGTTTCCGAGCGAGATCCGGCTCGGCCAGCCGGGTGTGTGCACGCATGAAAAGTCGACGACAGTGCGACGGGGGTGGAAGAACTGTTCTTCTTTTTTTCCAGCCACGCCATGATCTCTGGCCATTTAGCCAACGAGCCGTCCCGGCCTCGTGAGTCATCTTTCCCTTTCGTCGACTCTCCCTTCGCTCTCTCTCTCTCTCTCTCTTTCTCTTTCTTTCTTTCTCGCGCGCTCTCTCTGCCCTCTGACCGATGCATTCGACGCGTCGCGTCGTCGTAACTCTCTCTTCCCATTCAGTTCGAGGCGACCGTAAAATCGGCCGTTTCTTCTTCTGCCCGACAGACTCTGGTGATTTATATCGCCGACTCGCGACGTCTCACTTCCGGCGATCCACGACCACGCGCGCTTCCCGTCATCGTCTCTCTACGTGCTTTTGACGCGTGATGCCTCCGATTGAAAGCTGCTACTACGGTCGATATGGAACCCTCTCATATTTTTCGCACCCTTTCGTACAACTATAGATACATGTATAAAAATTGCGATAAACCAGTAGCCTGTATACTTGACCAGAGAAACATAGGAAGGATATCTACGCCTTATTCGAGGAAGCTATAATCTACCGCGATACGAGAGGCAGTTCGTGGTTGGACCGGATATTAATATCCCCGGGAGTATACGGCGAAACGTAGGAAAAAGAAGAGTGGACAATGGCGTAGCGTCAGGTTCACGAAGGTCTGTTCCGGACAGGTTCTCGACGTAGCGATGCGTCCTCCGGTGTTAGGTACTTTTATCTCGTATGGGCTGTGGGCGCGAGAACGTTCTCGAGGTTCCGG